TCTCTCTGTCATAACACTAGACACCTGGAGATCTAGAGTCATCGGCATGAACATCTATCTACCATAAACACTAGACACCTAGAAATCTAGAGATGTTTTTCTCTCTTTCTTGCCCACTTTTTAGCTTTAGTTTTATGTTGACAGGGGCCTTCCTATGCAGGCTGCACCTGCCTCAGCCTCCACAGTGCTGGAATCTAGGTGTGTACCACGAAGCTGCCACACGAGCCCACCTACTGGCGCCTGTGGCAACCTGTGGAGTTCTTTTCAGGTGAGGCCGCAGGTTTTATTTCCACCACAGAAAGAATTTCAGGACAAGTCAGTATGAGAAATATTTTAATAGATTTAAGCAAGAGGATTGGGGACACACACAGAGGACACAGAACAGAAAGAGAAGTGGGAGGGACAAGAATTATAAGCCATCTTACTTTTTGATACAAGAGTCGTCCAGCAGATCAATCTTGTTTTGGACAAGCACAGTTGGTAAATCTCCAACTTCCGCTACTACTTTTTCTCTCCAGCTAGAAATTGCCTCAAAAGATTCCCTGTCTGTGGTAGAAAACACAAGCACACAAGCCTGGGCTCCTGTAAGATCACAAAATGAAACTGTTACCAGGTCAACAAAGCAGCTGTGTAGATTACAGGCAGCTTCCATCCACTCAGATGGACTTCCAGCAGACCGACACCCAACTCCCACTTTAACAGTCTGCTTAGACTCCAGCGAACTTTCTAATTAAAAAGCACAGGCTGTTATGAAGAATGAACAGCCAAGTGTCAAGCTCCAACTGAACATGGTATAGCTAAAACATTACAAAGCATGGCTGAATTCCCACTGAGAGGCAGCAAGGGCAGCAGGCTAAGCAGGAATGACATGCTCTGCTGAAAGCTTCGTGGTGAGATTTGTCACCTGCTTATAGCACAGATCTCAGAAAACTACAAGAAAGCAAACGACTTATTCAATTTGTTTACTTTCTTCAAAATTATATTATTTTGGTCAGAATATCAGTGATTGTCTTAGTTAGGTTGACTATTGCTGTGATGGAACACCGTGGCCAAAATAAACCTGGGAAGGGAAGAAGTTAATTTCACTCACAGTTCGTCATCAAAAGCAGTGAGGGCAGGAACTCACCCAGGGCAGGAACCCGGGGGCAGGGGCTGATGCAGAGACCATGGAGGGTGCTGCTTACTGGCTTGCTCAGTCTACTTTCTGAAAGAATCCAGGACCACCAGCCCAGGGATGGCGCCACTCACAGTGGGTGGTTCCTCCCCATCAATCACTAACTAAGAAAATGCCCTACAAGCTTGCCTATAGCCCGATCTCATGGAGACATTTTCTCAATTCTCCCTCCTCTTCAATGGCTCTAGCTGTGTCAAGTTGGCATAAGACTAGCCAGCACAGTGTTCCAAAATAAATATAATAAGTCATGTCCTGAGGCGCCCCCCTCCCCACACCATGTGGCCTCATGGTCCTTCTGACAGAATTGTGGTTATCAACTGTCACATTAAGCTAATGCCATCTGAGACTGCAAAAAGAGCTGGGTGTGATGGCTCCCACCTTCAGGCCCAGCACTAGAAGGCATAGGCGTGAACACTGCAAGTCCAGGCCAGCCTGGTCTACAGAATGAGACCCTCTCAAAACAATAAATAAGTAAACAAACAAACAGCAGCCTCCTGGAAAAAGCAGTGACTCCACCTTGATTCCTACACTGGTGACAAAGCAGGTGGTAAAGATGTCAGGTCCCAAGTGCTCCCCCCTCCTCCTCCCAGTAGTGCTGGTGACAAAATCCTAAAAAGGACTGTGACAGGGTAAGTGAAAGGACTGCCACTGGCCTAAAGCCAGCATTGCTCAGGACCCTACCCACCCCAGCAGTCATCCTCGACTCCCAGGTAACCCTAACAGCTGGAACTGCTCAAAGCCCCTTGCGGACTTTATAAAATCAGCTTCTGTGCAGTGGCTCCACTCTGCCCTTGCTTACAAACTGATACAACAGACTCAAGAGAGGAATGGCATGTTTTATTTCACTCCTTCAAGGTCCCCCTCGTGAGTTTCCTTCTAAGATTCAAGGCCCTCTTGAGCTAGCAGGACATTGTAAGACCTAGCAATAACTGTCTCCACTGGAGCGCAGTGAGGAACAGGATGAGGAAAAGGCAGCTGTGTGTTGCTATTACAGACGGTGAGAACCCAATAACCACCGCCATCAGTGAGCCCTGAGGCCTGGACCCACAGAGAAGTAAAGTGACAGTCACATTACTATAGTCACTGAGCAGTATAATTTGCTTGAATTGTAATATGCACTAAAACTACAAATAAAACACTAATCAGTTAAGAATATACCATGAGACTGCTACCTTTAAACCCAAAATTTTATATCCAACCAACGGACCTTTAAATCTAAGGAAATGGGGTGCTTCTGGGTATATAAGATCATAGACTCTTAAAACTAAAAACCTTGGAGGAACTATAAGATAAAAATAAAAACGGCAGCAGATGCTTCTGAGGCAGATCAGAGAAACAGGAAAGGAGCCCCTCTCAGGAGTGCAGCGAAGCCTCTCCAGCAGGAAGCTAACCTCCAGCACATGCGCCCAAGGGCAAGGACACAGAAACTGCCTCTTTATGCAGTGTCCCCAACTAAGAATGCTAAAACAAAAACAAAGTAAGGCCTGAGCCTGTGCCCTCTTTTGGTAAGGCCTCACATCTGTAGGGGTATTTTCTGGAACCTCAGAAAAGACTAAGCCCATTTCCTGCATCTCTGTGACTCGGGAGCCACCCTGTGATCTTGTGGGCTCCTCCATGGAGACAGCAGCTAAGCCTCCCAAGAAGGAACAGATGCCGTTTTTATAAAGGCAACGGAGCGAGACTCTTCAGGAAGCCCGCATCCGTGCTATTGTCTTTCTTTCCCAACTCTAACTCTGTTCATACCCGCTCATCCTGAAATCCTTTCTACCATGTGGTCAGGGATCTAGTTCTGTCTGAGGACCCCAGAAGCTGAAGACAATTCTGCCGGGTCAGGGTGGGGTAGTACCTCCCCTCCTACTTCTGCTAACTGTGCCCTATAAGCCCAAAAGAGAGAGAAAGAGTTCAATATTATTTGAGAAATAAAGAGCCAAGAAAACACAGCCTCCCTCCAGCTGTGCTAGGTGGGCAGAGGCCAAAGGGTGCCAGAGGATAGGAAGATGCAATGTTGATGCAGCAGTTGAAATGGCCTGGGAATAATTAAGCAACTGGTGGACACTGGCCCAGGCACAGTCCCTACCCGTGTCCCCTTCCCTGTGGGACAGCTGCAGGCCTGCTCTATGCACATTACCGGTTTCCCAAAACCTCGAGCAGGTGCCTCGAGGGATGTACGTTTCTATTTGTGCTTTCTTGTTACTGTGAGGCCTTGGCTTTCTCAGGGCATTCCCAAGAGGACCTGGCAAATCCTTCAGCTTCCTGAGGCAGCCCTACAAGGTTCTTTAAAGGGACTGGCCCCACCTTTTCTACAGTGGTAATTAGTTTCTGTGTTCAGTATAGCAGCCTCAAGCTACTGAAGCTCCCTCACCTGTGACCCCACCCTTAGCCTTCGACTTCTTTCTAGGATCACACCCCTAGTAAGGGTGGAGCTTGAGGAGAAACTGTTGAAGCTTTCAAAGACAACATAATAAAAACTGTAGAGTCGCAGGAGAAAACTGGAGGGAAGGAAAGCGAGAACACAAGACACCCAACGAAGCACAGTCACCAACACCAAGGCTGAGGGAACAAAGCCAATCCTAACACCAACCTCAGTCCTGGAGAAGAGAATAAGCAGATCTTCAAGCGTGGTGGTTCACTTGACAGTGAGCCCCGGATCAGACACACTTAATCTCACGGGGATACATACGGACAACGGACCCTGAAGGGTAGTGACTGACTGGCTCCTCTGCTCGGGCCCTTCCCACAGACAGGCTGGAACTGGAACTGGAACTGGCTTGATGGACTTCAGGTCTTGAGCAGCTAAAGCACAGCGGTTCTGAGTTGAGTACAACAGCCATGCCGCGTCCAGAAGTCAGTGAATACAGCCCTCGGCCCAGGCTGCCTGCTCTTAACTATTTCCCACCCTTCACAGTGAAGTCTCCTGCACTCTGATTGTGATAATCAGTCACAGCTGAGCACTCTGTCCATGTATGATGTCTATATTAACCACCACCCACTGACAACATACGCACTTTCTGACCGTGGTTGACAGCAACACAAACCTAAGGATACAGGCACAAATAATCAGAAGCAATCTGATAGCAGACCATTTAACAAATTAACAGTAGGTTTTCAAGGACCTAAGATCTCTGCAGTCACAGGCTCTGACTAGGTTTATTGTCGCAGGTATGCGATCGCTCCTATGAAGCAGTTCAGCATTCAGTCAGAAAGAAGCTGGTCACTCCCATAACCATCAGGCCTCTACTGTTCCAGTGGGCACACGCTGCAGGGATGGCTGTCTTATCTACTGTGCCAG